TGCTGAACCAAGCCCCAGGGGCCTTACCACGTGCTCCTTGCTCACCGCGTTTCAAAGACAACCCTCTCACCTTTCCCCGTCTGTGATGCTGAGCAGCATGTGATGCATCCTGTCTCCCTCTCCTGTCCCCACGGCAGGCAGGCAGTTAATTGAAGGCCGTGCCAGGGGTCTGGTTGCCCTCAGAAAGCTGAGCAACCATCCCTCCAGCAGCCTGCCATGCTAATGGTTCCCCTATGATCTCCCCAGTAATGACTGGCAGCTGTTAGGAGTTGCCAGCAGTGCTTTTCAGTCGGCATAAAACACCCCTTGGTATTTGAAAGCTGTTTCCTGCAATGTAGGGAATGAGGAGTTTCACTGCTCGGGGCCTCTGGAGCCTGAACTAGCCTGTTATAATGGGCTCGTGCATGTTGCTACCTTATTCCTTCACTGTCTCAGGTGTGCTGGGACTGGAGTGCATCCCTGCGTGCAGTGCCATCCTGGGCACGGCCTGTTGCATAGCTCTCCATGCTTGCAACACGCAGAGGCGGTGAGGCTGGGGGCGCTGAGCTGAGTGGGGGGCGCCCTGTGTGCAGTGGGACGGCATAAAGCCAGCCTAGCATCTGTACCTCATTGCCCTCAAAGCCCCTAAATGGATCCTTGTGGCCACAGACTGGGATCTGGCTGCAGAGCGTCTGCCAAATGGAGTCTTTTGGGGACTTAGGCAGATGGGCGCTGCAACCCTTGCTACCTCCCTGACTCCTCAGCCTTGCAGGGTGCAGCGCTGACGGAGGGGAGGGTCTTCCCCAAGATACGAGTGCAATTCAAGAGGCCTCATTGCATGCATCAATAGCCGCCCCTGCCCCACACCAGCCAACGTTACCTGGCGTGGCAGTCATGACCCATCACGCAGTCCATCACTCATGCAGACATCCTTCATGCACTAGGTACAACCAGCTGGATTCTGCCCTCGCACGTGTATTGTGAGGCTCAGCTGGGCTTTTTCTGAGGTCAGTGATCTTTTTTTTTGGACATCATCAGGTAGCTGACTTGACCTTTCTGTGCCTCTTCAGTGTGCTGCGTGGATGCAGCTGAGCTGTGGACCTCTAACGAACAAGGAGCAATGGGCTCAAGTTGCAGGAATGGGGGTTTAGGTTGGACAGTAGGGAAAACTTTCCCACGAGGAGGGTGGTGAAGCACTGGACCAGGTCACCCAGAGCGATAGTGCAGTCTCCATCCTTGGAGGTTGTTAAGACTTGACTAGACCAAGCCTTGGCTGGGATGATGGAGTTGGGGCTGGTCCTGCTTGGAGCAGAGGGTTGGACTAGATGTGACCTCCTGAGGTCCCTGCCAACCTGAATTTTCTATGATTTTACGATCTCTTGTGTCTGTGTCTATGGGGTGCTTGCCTTCTCACTTGTTCTTGACTTCTAACTTCTTGTCTGGGACTCACCCCTAGAGAGGTCCTCGAACATTGCTCCCATTTTCCAGACACCCCCATCAGCTCCCACTTCAATCTCATCTCCTCCTGCTCTTTCCACCTCTCCTAGCCCAAGGACCAGCACACTGGCTTGCTGCTGCTTTGGCATCTAAAAGCTCAGTCTGAAGTGTCCTGAGTACATTTGGATGCTGGTATCTGATAGCTTTGGGGCCTGGGTGACATCCAGGAAACACATGCTTTGTTTTCCAGCATGCATTTGAGCTGGCTCGTGGCTCAGAAAACAGTTGAGCGCTTTACTTTCCACATGAGCTTCCTGTGATGCAAAGTATGTGGCTACCCTGCTTGGATAATTCCTGGTCTTTATTGGGTAGCATCCCAAGGCAGACGTATGTGAAGAGAGAGGCATCATATACAGTAACAGCACAGGTCTGCAGAGGTTTTAAGGCCAGAAAGCACCACTGAGATCTAGTCTGACCTCCTTCACAGCAGATGCCGGTAGTTTCCCCCGCAAGAATGGCTGCAATGGACTGAATCACCTGTTGTTCAACTCATGCATCTCTTTCCAAAAGCCCTCCAGTTTTGTCTTCATGGCGTGAAGTGCTGGCGAATCTACCATGGACCTACTTAAGTTGAGCCACTGATTGATCACCGACAGGTTTACAAAGAATGAGTCTCATTTCCACTTTGAATTTGCTCAGCTTTTTGCCTTCCAGCCACTGGGTCTGATGTTGCTATAGTTTGCCAAGTTACAGAGCCCTTTCGTATCTAATGCCATCTCCCACTGGATCCCAACTGCAGATGCTTCCTCAGCCTGACGAAGGATGTTTGTGCCCAAAAGCTTGCAATTTTCCAACTAGTTGACTTGGTCTAATAAAAGATAGCAGATTTACCCAAAGAACCTGGTCTGCCAATCCCCCACTGGAGGTATTTATGCCTCTCCTGAGATCGTCACCTTGCAACCTTCTCTTCAGTAAGCAAAATAGACTGACCTCCTAAGCCTCTCTCTGAAAGACCTTGAATCAAAGAATTCATTACATTGGATCAATTGCCTGCTCAGAGTAGCATCTGCCCTTGACCTGCGACCGCTGTCTGATGCTTAACTACATGTTTTAAAGACTCGTCCTAATACAGGAACAGTTATTTTCTAGCCAAAATGCATCTGAATCCATTCTGCTGATTGCCCGGGATGAGCTGACAATCTCAGCTGACCGCGGAGGTTATCTGCCGTCAGCAGAGCTCCTGAAAGTCCAAGGAGCAGAGACTTGGGGCTTGGCTCTGTTGCTCTAAGGGGATTGTCTGTGTGTTCACAGTTGTTCACATCAGAGCCCAGTCCCCGAGCCTGCATCTTTGATGCATGGAGAGTTGGTTTCATTCAGGGATAGCGGGAGGCAAGGGATCCTGATTCAGTAAGTGCAGCTAAATACTTCATATCCAGCACGCTTCTGGCTGCAGCCGCCTGTTACTTGTTCACTATTGCCCTCCCGTGGCAATGTGCGGGACTTTGCCTCAGCCTTTGAATTTTCTTTGCAATTTAAACCTGGGATAATCACGACGTTGAGCTGATGTGTTTTTGTGGTATCCCTTGGCTGGATGTCTATGAGTCAAAGCTTTAATTTGCACTGGAAAAAAGAATCGCTCCACAACATGAAATCCATGCTGCCCAGGGTGGTTTGAAGCACAACTTTCCCTGTGCTCATCTGCGCCCTGCCTAACATGTACCTAACTGCCTGCAAGTTCATGGCAGACGACAGAGCCGGGAGCTTGCAGAGCGCTGTCTGCCATGTCGGCTGTGGGGTTTTGAAGTATTTGCTATGCACGTAGGATGCCCCGCTGCCTGATGCACCTCTCTCGCTTTATTAGCAAAGCCATCTCCTTCACTCAGCACGTGCATCCTTTTTAACAAAGGCTTTGAATTGATTTGGCATGCTGACTTTTTTTTTTTTTTAAGGATAGTTCATTCCTGTCACACATCTCTCTTTTGTTTGGGCAGACAAAATCAAGTTTTTATTGAGCTGTCTGGACTCAGCCGATCCCATCTTGGGACGCAGATTCTTCAATGATGGTTTATTAACTGGGCATAGAGATTTTCCCTAGTTCGCATACAAGGATCAGCAGGGAAGTGCTGTAGACCCAGTCCCTTTTCTGCGAGGCTTTAAAGTGGTGGTTCTCAACCTTCGTAGACTCAAGGCCCCCCTTGGAAAATGCCAGCTCTGAGCTTTCACTCATTTTTTTATAATGGAAAAATACTAGAGCAAGCTTTCTGTTGCAAAGGACCGGGAAAGTCACGGCACCCTGTTGAGAATCGCTGCTTTAAAGAAAAGCAAAAGGACGGGGGAAACGGAGCCTCTTAGCACTGCCACTCATGGACACAAGGGGCACGTCTACACGTGCATTTAAGTGCATCTAAACTTAATGCACATTAGCTTAATGCACATTGAGCAGGTTTAGGCAGGTGCCTACACATGCAGGTGTTAAAGCACATTAACACTATGTGCAGATTGACTCGAGACTAAAGTTAGTCCCAAGTCAGTCCACACACATGGCGTTAATGTACTTTAATGCATCTACACATGTGTTTAATGTAGGTATCGAATTTAGTGCATTTGCAGGTATCAAATTGAGGTATGATTAGCCTAAATTCACCATTTTGAATGTGCATTCAGGGTGCGCGTGTGTAGACACATGTCCTTAATGCGCATTAACTTAGGTTAATGTGCATTAAAGTGTCACGGCACTTCTTTCGGTAAAGGCCAGCGGACCAATTCGGCAGGTCATGCAGCGATTTACACCTCTGCATCATTGGGCTTCCAAGTGAGGGAGGAGACTGCTGCTGTTTTAACTAATTATTAGTTCCAAGCAGGGAAAGAAGCTCTTTCCCACATGAGAAAAGTCTTATAGCAGCAAATAGGGTTGGATGCAATAGGGATACACACAAGGTGCTCTGTAAAGCTGTGGGACTCTTCATTGATAGGCACTGGGGTGGACACGTCTGGGCCATTTTAGATGTCTCTGGTGGGAGTTTATACCGATATGAGTTGAACTCCTTCTCTGAGACTCAGTCCTCTGTGGTGGAAACGTTTTGCTCTTCCCAAGAGGACCGCGGGGCTGATGTCTGTCCAGGCAGCAGCTGATAACTCTCCACGCCGTCCCCAGGGTGGATCACTGGAACAACGAGAAGGAGCGGATCGTGGTGATCACGGACTCTGCCCTCCTGGTCTGCAAATACAACTTCATCATGCTCAGCTGCCTCCAGGTGCAGCGCATCCCTCTCAGCCACGTCGACCGTGTCTGCATCGGCCAGTTCACCTTCCCCCAGAGGTCTCTGAGCAAGTGAGTACCCGTACCAGCTCCCTCCTTTCTTTGAAGACTGGTCATGATTTATTTGGGTGCTGTGGGGTGTAGCCCAATAAGTCCCTCCTCATCTCCCCCCCCCAAAATCTGGTTCTTCGGCATCCTGTTTCCTGCCTCTATTGTCTGTATTTAGAGTCTAGCACAGAAGGAGAGAGAAGTAGTGGGCCTGATTCCTAGAAGGACCCTCATTTTCTTGTTCTTCTAGGTGGCAGTCGGTCTCCTACTTGTCCATCCTTCTAGGTTGCTGCAGCAAGGTGATGTAGGCAGGGTGGGTGGCTTGGGGAGGATCCTTTGACTCATCCCAAGACAGAGAGGTTAAACCCGTGGTTCTCAAACCTTTTCAATTCAAGGCATCCTTTGGCAAATGCCAGCTCTTTGCTTTCACTTGTTTGTTTGACTATGGAAAAATACTAGAGCAATTCTTCTGTTGCAAAAATATCTCAAAGACCACAGCAGGTCAGGATGGTTTTGACCTTCTGGATTCCCATTTGAAATATCAGGAGTTATCTGGTGACTTGTGTATAGATGTTTGCACACCTAATATTGCATGAGACCCCCTGGCACCTTTCAAAGCATCTCATTGCCCCCGTGGGTACTGCAGCACTCAGGTTGAGGATCGGTGTATTAGACATACCACAACAGCACGGCACCAGGTAATGGGGAGGGGGCAGGCGTGACATGAATAACCCATGGCAATAGTGGGGCTTGATGGATCTTATGGTCAGCATTGTTTTTGGGTCCACGGGGTGGAGGCAGCTCAAATGATCTCTGGGAGATAAATACTAGGCACAAGGGGGACAAGGGTGGCTCTATCCTAGCTCCATTCCCCATGGGTGGGGAGAGGATGTAAGCAAGCAATAGGAGTCACAAACCTGGTTGCACGCATGGAGGGTGATCAGTGAGAAGATCCTACCTAAAATGCAATGGGCATAGGGAGGAAGAAACCCCCTAGACTTCAGCCAAGACTGGTAGCGCAGGGCAGTCCTGCCTGGTAATCACCAGATGGTGGCATCCCTGGCTCACGTACACCCACAGCGGCACCGGACACGATTGGGAGGGCTGTGTTCGGACGCATTTGAATCTGGCTCTGCTCTGGGGTTTTGAAGGCCAGCGCTCTCAAGTTCATGCCCATGATGTGGACGAGCCTGGGCCGTGCACCCTGGCTCCACACCGCCCCATGTTTGTGCCTTGCCGATTCCACGGTTGTCCCACATCCAAGCTGCTCTCTCTCTCTCTCTCTATCTTTTTTTTTAATGTGGTTTTAAAATTTTTTTTGCACCACTGAGCTGTCATTGCAGCCCAGACCAGCTGCACAGAGCTTCTCCAGTGGTCTGTTGGGGGCTGTCAACTTAGAAAGCCATGCCACCTTCTGCCTGGCATGGAAAAGATCAGCCTCCTGGTAAGACTGATACTGGTGCCATCTCCTTTCAGATGGGGAGCAGAGCTCAGGAGGGGCAAGCCTGTCTGTGCAGCTTTGCCACAGAGCAGTCGCTCCCAGCACCCTCCCTGAGCTGTGTGGGGTTTAAGAGCCGTATCCTCCCCTGCAATGATATCCCGTTGCTAGAGATCCCATGGCTGCTTAAAGAAACCATCATAATACCGCCTTCCTGAGAAAGTAATTGTTGTGCTTCTTATGAATGGCTGCATGCAAGCAACTGCTATCAGCAGCAAGTCCCAACACATCTTGCATACCAGGCCCTTGCCAGCTCGTGCTGTGTTTGTTTGAATTGCCTGTTGCCCTGCGCGTGATGGTTCTCCGGTGGATGTGTGTTTTGTTTGCTTTTGCTTAGGCCAGAGTTCATTTGTGCCGCGGGGTGCCTGGGTGCAGGGTCTGATCAGGCCAGGAGCCCCTTTGCCGGATCGAGAGCATGAGGCCAGATGCTCAGCTGCTGCAAAGCAGCGCTGCTCAGACCTCAAGGCAGCTGGGGATGTCATTGCCACTAGTGCTTCCCTGGGGGTCTCAGCCCCACGGTGCCTGGGTTCTGCCCACGGTGGTTCTTCTGCACCTCGCATTTAATAGTCATTGCGTAAAACAGGTAAATGAAATGGCATCAGGGCAGTTCCACATCACTGCTGTGGCTTCCTCTTCTCCTCCTGGATCCCTTCCTAGCTGCAGGAGGAGTGCTGGAGGAGGCTCTGGGCAATGCATGCCCAGTGGTGACAGCACTGTGCTGGAAAGCAGGAGATGCAGGTTCAAAACCAGGGTGAGGCTCAACTATGGATCTCCATATTCTCCACTTGGCATGGTTTTTCTTTGACCTCAAAGTTCAGTTGTGCATGAGCCTGAGTGGTTCTGTTGCATCCCAGCGCCTGCACAGCCATGGGGCAGCCTGCCCACCATGACAAGGTGCATGCAGCTGTGTAGGTCTAAAGTGCCGAGGATGTCACCCACGTGGGTCCTTAAGCGGTGCTTCGGTGCATAAAGACTGTGTCTTGTGGGCTAGTGAGAGGCCCTGCAGAGAGGGCAGGGAACGTGTCCCAGAAGTCCTCTGCATTCATTGAATCACAGAAAATGAGGGTTGGAAGGACTTCAGGAGGTCACATCCAGTCCAACCCCCTGCTCCAAGTGGGACCAGCCCCAACTACATCATCCCAGCCAAGACTTTGTCTAGCTGGGTTTTAACATCCTCTAAGGATGAGTTAATGAGCTTTAACAAGCAGATTCTTGCATTGCAAGTGCTCTTAGTATGGTTTAAATGTCACGTGTAACTTCACCCTAAGTTCTTTCTCTGTTGGACTACATCTAACCAGGCCATGCACGTGATGCTATGAGAGCCTCGGTGGGGCTGCAGAGTGCTTGTAAAGATAATCCCAATCCTAAACTGGTTCAAAATGCCTCAAATTTAGTCGGGACCTGAACCATCATTGTCCTGATCTGGCAGGCCTTTCGGGGGGGGGGGTGTGGAGCCTTTACACAGGTCAAAATGTGCCTGACTCTCAGCTGGGTCCTGACTGCGCACGGCAATCACTCCTCTTGATGCACAGCTCTGAAACCCTCTGCAAAACCTTTCTGCTTGTTGCTGCCGCAGCCGTAGCATCTCCAGTCTAATTGCAAGAAGCAGGAAGCATACAGCAAGCCACGTGGCTAACCCTAGATAACTCCTGGGAAACTACATACCAGTCCCATATACTCCCTTATGGCCCTCTGAAGTGGCTTTGGTCATTTGTCCGCTGCTCTGCTATTCCAAATAAGATGCGGGAGTGGAGAAGGGATAGTGTCACCTGGGCAGTACTCCGTGAACGTTGCCCTCCAAGACCTAGCCCGTAGAAATCCCTAGCAGATCTCTCTTGGAGTGTTATAGGGTCAGGATGTACTCCATGGACTAATATATAAATATACCTGGATATGTCTCATGGGCTCAGAGACTTCCTAGGCAATTTTTTTTTAACTTCTCAAAACTATAACCAGCTTCCCATTTATCTAGCTCTTGTTATCTTGTCCAAACTCCCATTGTCTTACTCCACATCCGTGCCCATGTGCAGGGCATCAGACTCAGGCCCTTGTCTATTTTGCTGCGTCTTTTAGACGAGTGCTTTTAACGCTAATGATTTAGCCAGAGCCTGTCAAGAAATCAATATGCTCGAAAGACTGGAACGTACCTTGCTCCCCCCCTTGCAACAAGCTACGGCCAAGAGCATTTCACTACAAGAGAAAGTTCAAAAATGAAAGGGTGAAGGAGCCTTTCTGCTTCTCTCCTTGAATGCATTTTTCTCCCTGTTTTCTTAGCTGCAATTTGTACCCAAGGGCTGTCTCTGCAATTTAGCAGGTCACGCGGGGCTTGAGGACATTTCAGGTGCCGGGGTGTCAGGTCGGAGTGAGATTTACAGCGGAGGCGGGGGGTCAGGCTGCTCTCTGCAGAGGTTGGGAGGGTGAGCAAAATCTCCCCTCAGGGCTTGGATCCCAAATCAAAGGGACTTTGAATATGTATGGCATTAAGATTGGGGGTTTTTTCTTTCCTGTAGAAGCTTTCAACCGGCACTGGGTGGCACAGCAGAGCAGGCATGCTGCGGGTGGGTGAAGAAATAGCTTGTTGTGATGGCTCCCGCTGCCTCTGGCGGGTCATTTACTGTAGCCCCAGATCTGTGTCAGGACCAGAGATCCCTTTGATGCAATGGGAGGGCAAAAGAAAGACATCATGAGCCAAGAGGACTTGACAGACGACTTTCCAGCAGCCAGTCAGACCTGCCAGCGAAGCGTAATTTTGTTTGCTTAAAGGGGAATAACCATCATCCATCTTGGGGCTGTCCTGGAGCTCTTAGATGCTGGAGATGGACATTTCTGATCCCTTGTCTGCATAGGAAAGCTCTGTCTCTTTGCAGCCAATGTGTCCCTTCCTTAGATGCTCCTCTTTCAGCTTTATTCCACTTTGCTTACCCCTGTTTGCAAGAAAGGGTTCATTAAAGTGGATCAGGTCACTCAGAAACACAGGGGTCCGTGCCAGATGAGTACAACCGGTGGAAGGGCACACCTTAGGTCTCATAGCACCACGTCCCTGGTGTAGACAAGGTGCACCAAGGAAGCTCGGAGGGAGCTGGGGTGCAAATCTTGCCCTGCTGAAATGGGTGGGAGCACTCCCACTGGCTCCAGTGAAGCCAGGATTTCACCTGAGTTGGTCTAAAGCCATTTGATTTGCTTCCAGGCCATGAAGAGTTTGTGTTTTCCCACGACGGCTGGAATCGTGGGAGCAACGATGCTCCCAAGATGAGACAGTCCCATGAACCAGGTTGGGCTTGGGACCCTGCCAAGTCTACCTGGGCCAGTTCGGTTTCCAGTGAAAACACGGTTTACACTGCCTAGTTGTTAAACATGAAGCAAGAACAGGCAGCTGGTGGGTAAATTAACTTGAAAAGAGAAGGATCGGTGTGAGAGGGAGCTTCTTGGTGACGGCTAGACTTGCACTTCCTTAGCTGCTTTGAATGTCAGGATGGGAAGATGCAATCAGGACTCGTATAGAGATGATATCTTTTATTAGACCAAC